CATTCCCACCCCTGTGTCCGTCTGTTCGTGCGTTCTATGCCTCCTTATACCACTTTATACCACAACACACTACACCATGCCATATACACATTCCTATCAGTACTGTCCATCTATCTATCTATCGGTCTGCTATTTTCTAATTCTATTTCTATATTTCCTTGTCCTTTTTTCTTATCGTATCATTACTATTTCATCTTCATATCTCTTATACTCCTTTTTGTTACTTCTCCTTACTTTTCATACCTCCTTAATTTACCTTACTTATCTTACCTGCTCTACCACGGTGATATACGAGAATGCGCAGGCAGCTCTGTCTCTCTCATCTTCTAAAAAGGACACTCGAGCTCGAACCGAGAGAATAACTACTTATTACCGTCTGCCATTCTTAAATTCTTATCTACATCTTACCCTACCTTAACTTCTTCGCTGTGAGTATACTTATTCCTCTCCCGTACCATACCATCTTTGCTCTCTTTTCTTTTCGTTTTCTCTGCTTTTCTTTTTCTTTGCTGTTCATTTTATGTCTCTACTTTGTGTTTTGATATCCCTATATACAGTCTCTACATCAGCTACGCTCATATCTATCTATCATACTTCTCCTCGCTTCCATCTCCGCTCACTGCCAGGCTGCTTTCTTTGTTTCTCTTTCTCTTTTCCATATAAAATAGCTCAATGCATGCACCATTTTCTTCTCTCAGCAAGCCAATAAGTGGTCTTGTAGATGCGCCACCGGTCTAGACGTCTATCAGATATATATATATATATATCAAACATAACCCAAAAAGTATGTATACCACAAATAACAGTGGTAATTCTATACCGTCTCCTCCTCTACGTCATCGGGATCATCCTCGTCCTCCCTCTGTACTCTCCTGCCCTCAACATTCTTCTCAACCTCCGGCACAAGGCTTTCCAGGTACTCTCTGTCCGCACCCACCAAGGTAACGGTATTTCTTCGCTTGCCCCAGCGCGGATAACTGCCTACCTTAACGCCCTTTGGTTCGACCCGCGCCGCGAGATCAGTCAGATATGCTGCTACAGAACTCTCCACCAGCGGGGTAGATATGAGTATCCTGTGCATTCCTTTCCCCTCCGGATCAACCAGGCGAGGCAGCAGGATCGGTTTGAGGCCTGCCAGCAACCGTTTGAACAAGGACGGTACGCCTGGAAGTATGTACACGTTCCCATTGACAACTGTTACGGGGACCCAGAGTTCCTCATCAATGAAGAGAGCCTGGTCTTCCAGGGGGATGGTTTTGTCCATGGGCAGCTGGACCATGCGTAATCGTGCCGTCAGGGCGTCCGAGGGCGTGTCCCAGTTGAAGTTAGGGCCGGCCTGCTGGGGCTTGGAGAGACGGCGCATGCGTTCGAAGGCCTGTTCGTGCAGGACGAGCGGGAGGTTGAAGGCACGAGCTATCGACTGGTACGTTATATCATCGTGTCTGGAGAGGGGAAGTTAGTCTATCTCATCTTCTGTAGTAGTAAAGGTGCTAGTGGTGTGATGTACGTTGGCCCGATGCCTCCGCTGGTCACGACAAAGTCGTATTTCTCACTCATGCGCCGGACAGCCTCGATGATCTCGCTCTCCTCGTCTGCGATGACTTCCACTCTCTTCAACTGTATCCCAAGCTTGAAGCAATATTCCGCAAAGTGCGGGGAGTTCGTATCAACTGTCTACCAGCCATCAGTCAGCACAATTGATCAATTGAACAGTCAGACCTAGAAGAAATCAAGACAGACCTTACCGCCTAGCACTTCATCGCCTATGATCAGACACGCCGCTGTGCAGATGGTCTTCCTGAAGTTCTCGCGTGCCGTCGCCGATGAGGCTGCGGACGGCGTGGACGATGATGTCATTGGCGATAGGGACGAGGGAGGGAACGCTGCGGCAGAGCTGTGGGCGTAGTTGGGCAGAGGACGGCTGAGATGGCGGATCACCTGGCCGATGCGACTATACATGAGCCCGTCAGTTCGATGTAGCTGTGGAAGTAGAGAGATGTTGGTGTTAAAAGCGCTGGCATAGGGATTGAGGAAGAAGAAGAAGAAAAAAAAAAAAAAGGGACGAGAAGAAGAGAAGAAAACGAGCGACCAAAAGGCAAAAAACGTCACCCCACATTTTACAACAGTTCCGCGAGCTAGCAGTTGTTTTTATCCGTCATCAACAACGATCAACAGCTGGAGAACAGAAGACAAACAGCCATGGTATGCAGTGACTTCCGATGCTGAGCGTGCCTGCTTGGGCTGGCTAGCTAACATGGCCAGTCGGACACCCGCCTGTACTCGTTCTCCCCCGAGACGACAGAGAAGCTGCGCAAGTTCCGTCTGGGAACGTCGAGGGCCAAAGATCCCCAGGCGATGATATGTAAATATACTAGGCCTTCTAAGGACTCGTAGGAGGTCCTGGCGAAGAGAGCGTGGCTGATACAGAGACAGACATGATCGACGCAAAGAGCCAGGAGATCCGGCCGGTCGACGGTGAAGTCTACTCGAAGATGGAAGACCTAGCAGACGACCTTCCTGACTCTTCGCCCCGATTTATCCTGCTCAGCTATCCCCTGACGATAGTAAGCCTGCGTCGATATCTTATTCTGTTGCTCCTGGCGATGTTTTTATTATTATTACTGTATGCTGACCTGGCAGGCTGGCCGTCCCGCCGTCCCCTACGTCCTGCTTTACTACCTGCCCGAGAACTGCAACCCATCGCAGAGAATGAGCTACGCCGGTGCGGTGGAGCTGATGAGGAGCGCGGCGGAGGTGAACCGGGTGATAGAGGTCGAAAACGAGACGGACGTCATCGAGATTGAGAGCAAGCTTCAGTCACAATAACTACCCTTCCTGCCTAGTCAGGTGAACTGCTGTATATATTACCAAGGGAAGACGGTCCAAAATGTCCAAATGACAACAGGAATGGCTCATAATAACCAGCCCAACCAAACCACTAGTTAGTTACTGAGGGTACTCAGGTCATCTCAGGTACTCTCGGTGGCCTGGCCGGCGGATATACCGACGAGAGAGTCGTACAAACCACCGAGCCCTGTTTATGTCCCTGGGAAGAAGCAAAAAGTTGAGATTGTTTCATAAAGTCACTCCCGTTGGCAAGAAGATTAGTTAAAGTCTTTCTTGAATTTCATGGTTTATTTTTTTTTAATATACGTATCGTTACCGCCAACCTGCGACAGCCAGGGTGCCTGCAGGGCTAGAGGACGATCGATCGATGGGACTGCTCCTTGTCCATGGAAGGCCGAATGAAGGAAATGGACCGTGGTATCGTATGTTGATTTGGTTATCAAATATTAGCCATCCTCTGTGACGGTGGACTGATCGGCATCAACCGCATCAACGCATCTCCTGCTTCGGCCTTGGCTACCTTGCATGCTGCCGGCGAACATTGAGGAGCTGGTCGGCGATGCTGCGGGCCTGTTTATATGTCGAGTATCCGTACAGAAGAAGCAAAGAAGAAAGGGAGAGCGGAGCTACCTAGTTGGTTACCATGATCTATGACGTGAGAGTAGGTAAGCGGCAAGTGAGCGTGTGAGGCAGAAGCACTCCTTCATTGAGGTCCTTTGATCATTGAATCTCTGCCCTGATCGCTGTTCAACTGTGTATTTCTCAAGCCGATCGCTTCAATTATTATTAGGCGATTTTATTTATTTAGACGCGCCAATGCGGCTGATTACGTCATTCACTCGAAGGCGGCGCTTGCTTGATCTATAAAGCCGCCTCTTCGAAAATAGCCCAGGCTTACAGCGTGGCCGATATACGGTCCCGGAGGTCCCTCTGGTATCGGTTACATGTATATGTCTATGACTTTCGCAACTTTAGGACAGACAGCGCTGCAAGGGATCGGCTCGACAGTATAGTAGACATCACATACCTGGGCAAGCCGTATTTTGACGAAGAGGAAGTCGAGGCCCTTGAAAATACTATCTCTAATAGTAGCGGGAGTCAGGGTGAGACTCTTGCTCAGAAAATTGAGTCTACCCTGGATGAACGATTGAATCGCCGTATGAAGAAGCGTGTAGAAAGTAGCGACTTCAGGGTCTGCGCCGCCCACGATCTTGCACCTATCTTTGAAGCTGTTTTTGACATACCACCGAAGAAGCTGGCAAAGAAGCTTGTATCGTTGATTAGTTCGAGAGGGCTGATACTTCGAGATGAGGATGACATCTCCATGTATCCTAGGTGAAACTGAGCTCCAAGCTCTTGCAGCGAAACGCTCAACGGTCGGCAAGAAGAAGAAAGGCAGGTAGCTACTCCTGCTACATGCTTCTAAAGGAAAAAGAGACGAAATCAATATCTTGACTCCCTACTCCGTACTTCAAATGGTCAAGGGAAGCAAACGGGCCACGTCGCTCTGGACAGTTTTCAAGGGAGCAACTTGGAACCCTCAACTTCTCTGATATTCCACATCGAGGCAACATTTTCTTCCATGGAAGCGGCCTCTGGATACCTAGATGATCTACGCCTGAAGACAAGGCGGTTTTGGATTTGGGAGGCTTCTCGCATTGAAACATGCTCCCTATTTTAGCGGCGAAATGGTAACGGCGATTTTCAACGTATTCCTAGGCAGGCTTGGAAAATCTCCTTACTAGAAAACAGTAACGCGGCCAGTCATACGGAATCTGTGCGTCTCACGATCGGTCGCCGCTAGTTGAAATGGCTTTTCGGTATTCGGTGGTCCTTAGTGCGAAAGGTGAAAAGACCTGTAAGTGCCAAAGATAGAATAAGGTCCGCTCTCTGCCGCCAATGGGGTAACTCCCCCTTTTGGCTCAACGAAATTGATAGCAAGGTAAAGCTGGGTGCGAGGAAGTCGCCCAAGCACTCCATACGGCTGAGCATATTATGAAGTATGCCGAGGTCGACTAGAATAGCAGTTGTGACATAGCATTCGTTGGACAGATTTGGATATTGCATCGTATACTCCGTACTCCATAGCAATAGCAGTCCACTTTCTGGGTATCTTGTGCAATCCTTCACTTTACCCGTGAGTTCGGGTATCTAGAAGGTTAGCAACTATGGGTATTATCAGGCAGCCATGTCCTAGCTCCTAAAAGTATAAACTAAATACTCTATCCAAAACCCTCCGTGTCAGATTCGGGGACACTCCCGTTTACTCCGTGCATAAGGAGAGAGTACCGGAGCCATGGTCGAGGGAGAAGACGGGGATGGATGGAGATGTCTGTAGTGCTTATCAAGCTGCATGGGCCTCATACCCGACCCACAGGCAACTGCGCTCCGAAGGAGCGGTCGGCCGGCAACTGAAGGGCCTCCTCGTGGCGCCCACTAAGTTCTCCATCCTCACATTCTGATAACTCTTGTTTTCCTTACCGTTCTGTCTGTCTGGCTGCCGTTTTGGTCTTTTTCAACTTCCCTTTTTGAGGTCACGGGACTCCACTTTAAGGTTTAGTGGTAAGTTACGGCCGGGAGGTTGCCAAGGCCGGTCCCGGTGGTTTGGGTTTTACATAAGCAGACATCAGCGGGTAGCCAGTCAGCGCGAGAGACAGCGAGAAGGGCAGCGAGAAGGCAGCAAGCAGAGTAAAAACGCGGGAGAAGCGAGAGAAGAGTGCCAGCGCATTGTGGAACATGAGACTGGCAGGGGAGGTCGTGCGACGAGCACCAGCAGAAGGGGAAGGGTGCATAAGTGACGGAGCGAGTGACGGTGCTAGTGAGAGGCAAGTGAGCAGGCGGGAGAACTAGGCAGCGCGCCGCCGAGTCGGGACTGAGGGATCCCTGCGCAATGCGTTTCTTCTGCCTGGCTGCTTTAAGAGTGGGTTTTGGCGCGGCGTGGTTGGCCGGCGGGACGGCTGGGCGGGCTGGGGTGGCTGAGTCATGCTGAGATAAAAGCGGCGGGTGGGCCGTGATACCGACGGGTCCATAAAGTGGGACCCGTACGGTAAGCGTAATACGGTAACGGGACGACCAGCCAGTTGGGATCGAGAGAAAAGATAAAGTAGATAAAGTGAGATTTGGAGGCGACGAGAAGAAAAGAGGACGACGGCGATGGAGACGAGAAGACAGGCTGAGAGTGAAGAGGAAGACGAAGAGGAAGAAGTGAGAGCCGAGTGAGAGCGAGCGAGCGAAACAGCGCTGGAGAGACTCCATCGCGAGGGCAGCAGCAGGTGCCAAGGGTGCCAGAAGCGAGAGGCGAAACGGTGGAACCGCCCAAGCTAGCGGGCGATGGGACGGAGGAAGAAGCAGATGCTGCAGCAGCAGCAGCAGCAGCCAGAGAGAGCCAGAGGAGAGCCCAGAGAGCACGCAGGGAGTCGCGGTGCTGATGCTTTTCTTCTGCCGCCGCCGCTGCTTCTTCAACTTCTTCTTCAACTTCTTCTTCTTCTTCATCTTCATCTTCTCCCTGCTCGCTGCAGACTCTCACTCTCTGGCCGGTCTCTCGCAGCAAGGCTCTCTCCTCGCAGTCTCCCTGCAGTGAGCGACTTTGGCCTTGTTTATTCACGCATCGCTCGAGAACCAGCGAAAAAAAAAAAAAAGGCCGCCGTACAAAGAGGCTCTTTCTCGCTCTCCGACACTCCAACCCCCGTCCATCACCATCTCCATCACCACCACCACCACCAGCAGTGAAAAAGGAGAAGAAGCAGCAGCAGCAGAAGACGCAGAGACGGGAGAAGGAAAAAAAGAAAGAAAAGCACTCCTTGGCCGTTCTGTCTTTCTTCACCCCGTCCACTCCCATCCCAACTCCACGGTTTCAGGGCCTTCCATCGCTCAGCTCGTCCGGCGTTGGAACCACGCTCGATAGCCTCATTGGCTGTGCTCGCTCTTCTCTGCGCAGTTCTGGGGGTTGCGTTGGCCGCTGGTGTCTCTCTCTTATAAAACACCATTGCTTCTCGTCTATCTTAATTATACTCCGTCCTCCTCCTGCTGATTCATTCACCCTGGCTGCTGCTCGCTGACCGCGCTCTGTTGCTACCGCTCTCTCCGTTGGCCGCCATGTCGGACTCCAGGGACCCAGGGAAGCCCGGCGGCGACAAGGAGAAGGAGGATACCCTCTCCAAGTACATCCAGCGCATGAAGACCGTCCTCAAGGGCCCTCGCAGAGCTGCAGACATGGACAGGAGGTCAGTCTCCCTTCGTTTTTATCCATCTACGTACTTGG